CATCATCATCATTATCATCACTATCTTCATTATCATCACTATCTTCATCATCATCATTTGACTGACCCCTCATTGTTTTTCTCTTCCAGTTTCTGTTTTTGTTTCTATTTTTCTCTTTGGCCTTTATCCTCTGGTCCTAACAGCTGGTGAGTCCATGATTTCTAACATTTTATTGATTATAGACAGGACTCTTTCACACCTTGTTTGTTTCACACCGTCAGACTCTTCAGTTTAGTCTGAAACTAAATATCAGGTGTGAAAGGTTCCTCAGACATGGTCTAGACCAACTCACCAACATTGTAGAAACAGTTGGGATTAACTCATATTTCAAGGTCTCGACCTGAACAGGTAAAGTGCCAGAAAATGATGCCATGAGTTGGCGATATTCAAAGAAAATTTTATTGAACTAAAGTGTAGTCCGACCAGAAGAGGAGTTCTGGGTCTGGCTCAAACTGAACCTGGTTCTGTTGGTTCACAGTGAAAACACTTTGTTGGATAGTTTGGACTTTTGGACCAATCACAGGAAGTAGAGACACATTAAACCATAGAAGAAGAAGAGGACGCAGCTGCAGTCTTCACCTCCGACGATAAAGTGTTTGAACCACAAGGATGTTAATTTGGTGCATTTGAACTAGTGTGGAGTACTGTAGTATTATAATACTGTAGTACTGTGGAGTACTGTAGTACTGCATTTACTGTGCCTGAAGGTGCTGATGCTGCTAGTAATACCATCATCATGTTACCATGGCAACCACATGAAGGGCTTCATTCATTTCCTGCATTTAAAGAGAAAAACTACTACCCCCCCAACTGACAACACGCCCACGTCAGATGCCATCTACAAACCAATCAGAGTCACGTATAGGTAGGCGACGCCCACGTAGGTGGTGACGACAGGACGTACGTATGTCAGACAAAATGCTTTAGTCCCTAAATTACAATGTGAAACTAAAACTAACAGATAAAATGAAAAGTTGAACAAACACATGAAATTATATATATATATATATATATATATATATATATATATATATATACACATAAAATATATATATTATATGAATATATATATTTATATATATATATATATATATATATATATGTAACGTGTAACGTGTTAACATGTTCATGTCTGTGTTCATGTCTGTAGTCAGCTTTTTTCTCAGAGGTTTTAATCAACAACAAGGATCCAGGGTTTGGAACCAGCAGCTCACTGACAGAGGCACATTGGCCTGCCCCCACTCCTCAGCCAATCAGATCAGAGTCGAGCTGTCACCTGACTACACCATAACATCCTCCCAGAATTCCACTGTGCTGCGTCTGATGAAGAGAATGGTTTACTGTTAGCTATTGTTGACCTGATGTACAGCTGACATACACAAGGTGGCGTCAGTGAGTCACTGGATTAACATGGTGCTGGACTGAACTATTTATTCAGTCTGTTTTTAACTAAACCTGCCTCCTGTCCGAGCAGGTTGAACCAGCTGTTCTCAAACACTAACCAACTGGAAACATCTCTAGCTAGTTCAGTTCACTCAGCTGGTTGACCTCAGTGTTGACGTTGTTGTTAGTTAACTGTTAATGAACGAGTCAGAACTCTGACGTGTTGAGAAGAAACATGATGGAAAACTAATGCAAGTGAATTAAACTTTGTTCTGATTGGCTGTTCCACCTGCAGACTGGAGCATTGTGTAAATCCACGCATGGATCTGAGGGGACAATGTGTAACCATCACATAGTTTCAGCACTTGTGGAGAAAATGAACTGGAAGATGAAGCTGTTGAAAAAAATGATTCCGAACAGTATCAATGATAATATTATTGAATAGTATTATTCTGATCAGTGCTAAAAACAGGTTTTTATCACTTGGATTTAACACGATGTTTCACACATGAACTGTTCACGAGTATGTCTGCGCTTCACACCGCTATTATATTATATTAAATTATATGATGGAGAAAGTCATTTTAGTCTGTAGTATTCAAACCTTACGTTATTTTCAAATCATATTGATTTTTAGTAAAAAAAAAGATCCTGTTTTTTTTCATGTTTCACTTTTGTTATTTTCATTTTAAATGTTGTGGAAAAAAGAAAAACAAGTAAATAACTAATAATCGACGGAAATGTGAATATTTCTCAGATTTTAAACTGAAGCAGAATTAAAACATGTTTTAAAAAATGGATCCTGCTGTTGAACTTTTCTGATTCCAGATGATATTTTTTTATCCTGAGAGTCTGAACATCTGACGAGTCTGCAGTTTTCTGTGATCACATTAAAACACTGAACAATAAACTATGTTTTTGTTTTGTTTTTTGTTTGGTGGAACCATCTTTATTTTCTCGTTCAGGCCACAACGTGTTTCCTCACCTAACCCACAGTGACACGGCCTCATCAATGAATCACTTATCAATAAAATGAAAGATCTTTAAAAACACAAAGATCTATAATATTAGTATATTATAATTTTTTTCTAGTGAGTTCATGAAATGTTTGTCAGGTTCATTCCTGTTAAACAGGAAGTGAGGATGGAGAAAAACATGACAACTCCAATTTATAGACACACACTTTATTATTACTGTGTTTGTGTGTGTGTGTGTGTGAGAGACAAAGTGAATGTGAGAGTTCAGACTGAAACAACCTCAGTTTCAGAACATCTACAGTAATGAGCACTGACCTGTGTGTGTCTGTGTGTGTGTGTGTGTGTGTTCACTGAAGCTGAAACATTTGAGTCGTTCACTGTGATTTTTTTCACTCAATAAAAATTGAGAGTCATAATAATTTTTTCAACTTAATTATGATTTCATTTGATTTTTAACAGTTTTTAAATAAAGGTTTGTTGCTAAAGTAACAGGCTTTCTCGAAAATGTACATAAAGTTTTAAAAAGTGTATTTTCATACTCTGCATTTGATGACAGTCAAAGACTTTGTCCAAAATCCAGTATATGATGAGGGACCACAGCGTCGTCTGACTGACAGATTGAACGTTTACAGGAAACGCTGGGTCGGGGGTAGGGTAAGGAAACTGTTTGGTCTTCTATCATCTGACCTGTAGGTGGAGCTGTGAGTCTGGTGTCAGTCAGTCGAGCAGTAACACCTGAGAGATAATATATGACTTTTGACCCTCTTAGACTGAAGTCAGTCATTCAGTGTTTTCTTGCCTCTGATTGGTTCCTCTTAGTTTCCTGCCTCTTCCATGACCTCCTTTTTGTCTCCTACTCATCTTCTTCACTTCTCATTGTCTTCCTCTCATTGTCTCACATCAGACCTGTTCATCATGTCTGAGCGCAGGTTTTCTCCAGAGGACGACTGCTGTTCTCTTCTCTCTCGGCTCGGTTCAGACTCTCCTCGTCCTCGGATGAAGTATGGAGGGATGTTTTGCAGCGTTGAAGGAGCTTTCGAGAACAAAACCCTCAACTTTGAATCGTTCAGTCCGCAGACGCAGCGACGCCGAGTCCAAAGCCGAACAGATGATGGAGGAGAAGGTGGACGAGGTCAGACGATGGTGTTTCCCTCTGGACACGCCCGAGAAAACTACAGCAGGAGACAGGTTGAAATAACCTCTTCTGTATAATGATTTTTTTTTTTTGTGAANAAGCTTAGTCTCTCTCTAAGGAGACTCAGCAGTCATGCCTAATCTCTCCCTGCCCAAACAAAACACAGTATTCCCAAGGCCTGGTGTGTGCAGGTATTCATTTTTCTTTTAAATCATTCAGGCTTTTCAAGGGCATTAGTCCCCACACATACTACGTGTCCTAACATGTCACATGTCCGGAACATGTCCGTACTTCAGTTCATGTATAAAAACCAGTCTATGGTAGAAACACATTTCAATTACCTCAATACGTTCAATGCAGCGTACATAATGCAGATTTTATTTTGAAGCTCTACACCGGAAGTGGGTGTGTATACTGTCTGCAGCGTGACGTCAGAGAAGACGGAAACAATAGCAGGCTGTGGCCGCGCGAGCGCATCAATCAGCTGATCACAGATCGATCAGGATTGATCAGGATCGATCAGGATGTTCCAGAACAAGAAGAGCAGCGCGAGGTCCTCGGTAGGTCCAACCGGAGTATCCATAGTAACCATAGAAACCATAGTCACCGGAGTCACCGGAGGTGAGGGAGGATGCTGCAGCTCCAGCTGTCAATCATCCAGCCCGGTCCAGTCTGCAGCAGCTACTCTGGTCCCGGTTCAGTTCGGTTCGGTTCGGCTCGGTTCGGTGTGTTCAGTGACGTGGGACATTTCAGCTTTGTCTATTTCATCTTTTGACTGAGGATAAAAAAAAATCTCGGTGAACCACGCCCCCTTTTGACCTGTTTCAATACACGTGACCGTCAACACAGCTGAAACGTCATCAACAGATCTGAAATCTTGAAACTGAATTTACACGTTTCTGACACAAAAAATTAACATTAACATAAAAACTGAACTTTGTCTGTGATAAAAAAAAACATTAAATTCAGATAAAAAGCTAAAAAGCACAGGATTCTCCAGGAAAAACAACAAAAAAACCAAATATATATATATATATATATATATATATATATATGTATTACAACAATTTGAATTTATTTATAGGGTGGCAGTGGTTCAGTAGGTAGAGCAGGTTTTCCTCTAAACAGATGGTTGGTGGTTTAATCCCAGTCCACCCCATTTTGTGTCCACGGGCAAGATACTGAACCACCAATTACCCCTGACAGCGTTTTCATAGAAAAGTGCTGCACACAGCCGACAGTGTGAATGTGTTAATGGCAAAATTGTACTTTAAAGAGCTTTGAGTTGTAATCAAGAATATATACATATATATTAGGGCTGTCAAAATTAACAGGTTAACGTGGGATTATTAATTTGTGGAATTTGTGTTTCTCTGGTCACAGCTGCTCAATGATCAGAGCAGAAGCTGCAGTTTGTTTGTGTTGAGCTGGAGTTTCTGTTTCCTCCTCCTCTCTGAGCTGCCCTCACTTTGACTAATAAACACTCATCACTATAGTTATCAGGACCTGATCAGTACATGAAGTCACTCAGTGTTTTTCTGGATTCCAGAGTTTATGAGACTCATTTAAACATCATGAAAAATGACTTGTCAACATTTGTGCTCAGTTCAACACGAGACGTGAGCAGCAGGACTCAGTGTTAACATGACGGAGCGACACAGATTCAAGATCCGACGCCATTGATTCATAACTAAATACATGTTCGTACGTCTTTCATCTGAATCATCCCACTAAAAAATGAACATGAACTAGTTCATTTTCACCTGCATGAGCTGAACTTTGAACTCATTCTTTTTAAGGATGAACAATATGTTCAGTAATAATGAACAATAATGCTGCTCGTTCTGGAGCCCATGACAAGGTTTGGTTTTTTGTTTGATTTAAAAAAGAAAAGAAAAAAAGTGGCGGAAATGTAAATTGGGTTTCATTGTCCTGAATTGTGGAACTAGAGGGAATGAAGTGTGTAAAAGT